CGTGCATCACCACAATGGACCCAGAGAAGCTCCTTGTCTCTTCATTCAAAAGACTGAGAGTTGCCCCAGTGATAGCAATGTGGAAGAAGAAGAAAAGGAAGGCTATGCAAGGGGCCAAGGTGCCAACATGGGGTCAGCTGAAGAAGCTAACAACTGAAGCCCAGCAGATGGTAGAAAAGCAAGAAGTGGAAGCTACTCCTTCAACCATGTTTCTGGCTATGCTAGCACTGGTTAGCTGCCAGTCTTCTGCAAAGTCTTGCACAGCCAAGTCCGAGGACTCTGAGTAAATATACACCAGCAGCAAAAAAGAAACTTTCATTTTGTAGCCAAAAATGTTAAACATGACTGTAGTTTGATTTCTCTCTTATTGCTGTATTGCTTTAGCATTGTTTTGTTATTGTTTTAATAGCCAGAGTTATGTTCAAGTTTATTTTTATTGTAGTAGCTTAAAAACAAAAAAGGGGGATGATGTAGGGAGTGGCTCTAGAGTCAAGCCTCCTGCTGACCTGTAGCAGGGCCACAAACAAGTCCCAGCCTGGAGGGCAGAGCTCTCCTAGCATAATTAAGCCTGACCTTGTAGCCCCTCCTAATTCCTTCCTAAGTAGCTAATCGGCTGTGGGAAGTGCAGCAAGTGTTGCCAAAACAAGAACATTTGTATACATGTTCATCTACCCTTGTTTTAATCAGACTATAAAATAAAGCATCATCTTGCAGGCTGGGTCTTTTGTGTCCTCATCCAAGCATGGGAGATCCACCGAGCCCCAGCTGTATTCTCTTGTCTGTCTTTTCTTCAATCCTTCACCACCCCTCCTCAGGTTCACCCTTGGCTGTGCTGGCACTGCACAGGGAGCCATCGCCCTGGCTTCAGTCAACCCAAGTTTGCTACTCTGAGAGCAGTAGGCAGTAGCAGCTCATTCTGGGCTAGCTTCTGAATCCTACTCAGGTGACTCTATTGCTGGCCTCCATTAGACTTCCTTCTCTTAATGGCCCTCCCCAACCAGCCAAGGAGGATGGGGGATTGGGAATCTCTCCTTCTCCATTGCTGACCCTCTATCCCACACCAACAATCTTCTCTAGGTGAGTGATGTTCCACAATTTCCCTTGTCTTGAGTCTTCTGCCAACTCACTCTCACTGACTTCTTAAAAATCCTCTCATTGCAAAAGTCTTAGCACTTGGTCAGAAGAATCCTTGGCCATTGGCTTTGGGTCCTTCTCGATTGGGGACACCCAGTCTGGAGGGTCACCCCTCATTTCTCGTGATGATTGGTTTAGCAGTTGGGATGCCTGCCCTAAACAGTCACCTTTGGATTTGTGGTCTGTCACCCTTCCTGTCTCGTGGGCCACGCTACACTCCCTCTGCACACTCATGGAGGAGATCATGCCCAACCACTTCATTTTCTTTTGTAACACTGTTTGGTTATAATATAAACTAGATAATAAGTCTTAATGGCCTGAAAACAGCACTTTCAATTTTAACACATGGCATGATTTAGATCATTGCTGCCACCACAATGGAAATTGGTCAGTGACTCCCTACATCCAGGCTGTTTTCACCATTCAGTCCAGACCCTCTCTCTGTCAGTCCTTCTCTACCCATCAGATCCTTCTCCTTCACACAAAACCTCATACCCTAACACTTCCTTTTTTAAAAATATATATTTTATTGATTTTTTACAGAGAGGAAGGAGAGGGATAGAGAGAAACATCGATGAGAGAGAAGCATTGATCAACTGCCTCCTGCACACCGCCTACATGGGGATGTGCCAGCAACCAAGGTACATGCCCTTGACCGGAATTGAACCCGGGACCCTTGAGTCCGCAGGCCGACGCTCTATCCACTGAGCCAAACCGGTTAGGGCTACCCTAACACTTCTGATTCTGAATCTACTTTTGACCCACCAACCTCAGCCCCTTTGCGGGAGACCAATTCCAGCATGACAGCAGGGCTGCATCTGGGAATGGCTGAAGGCATTTCCCTAAACCTGAAAAGGGATTATTGCTTGGCTGCCAGACAGTTAAAGGGCATCTTAATCTACATGTTATTGCTTCTTACTGGCCAAACACCTGAACAGCCGTAGGCTAATTCCCCCATCCTGACAATGGACTCTGTACCAAAACCTGACCCTTTGAAGTGTATATCTCTGCCTCGCCTCAGGACAAGTTGTGTTAATAAAAAGCATGGGGTCCTGGGGACAAGGAGAACCTAAGGCCTTAGACTTAAGACCATAGAACTTAGCTCCTTTAGCTAAGCTCCTCTGACCCCCAAAATGCCTTTCAAAATTTTATTTCGTCTCTGAACTCTTTATTAGTCTCTGGATTCTTATGTCATCTACGCACAGCCCCTTCTACAGATTCCTGAACCCTTCTTGATGCTGGGACAAGAACCCCTGCACCCCTTATACACCCCCACAGTAGATTCCCAAAACCCATACCCTCTTAACCAGCAACCACCTTCTTTCCTGGCTCCTGAGAGCTCAAATCCTGAGAACTTGAGCTTCAATATAGCCTTTTCCCCACCTAACAGTCACTCTTGGGCCATCCAAAGACCACCCTCCTCTACCATGAGAGAGGTAGCAGGAACTGAGGGTATTGTCTGGGTACACATCCCATTTTCCATGTCTGACCTCGCACAGATTGAGAGGCATCTCAGGTCTTTTTCCACAGACCCAACCACATTTACCAAGGAATTCGAGTCCCTGACCCAGTTCTATGACCTACCTGGCACGGCATCTATGTCATCCTGTCCTCCTCTCTAACCCCAGAGGATAAAGGATAGCGTTTGGCTAGCAGCTCAGGACCATGCCCATGCCCTCTATAGACAGAACGCAGCAGCAAACCCTGTTTGGCACTGATGTGTTTCCCTAAACTGACCAGAGATGGGACTATCAGGTTAATTCTCCAGAGCACCAACTCTATAGCCATATAATCACCTGTCATACACAAAAATAGACTTAAAATGGTTAAAGGACTTAAATGTAAGACAGGAAGCCATTAAAATCTCAGAAGAATCCATAGGCAGCAAAATCTCAGCCATTTCTCATAGCAATATGTTTACCAATACATTTCCTAGGAGAAAATAAACAAATGGGACTACATCAAAATAAAAAGCTTTTGCAGAGCAAAAATAAAAAATAAAAAAAAATCATAAAAAATAACAAGAGAGCCCACTGCATGGGAGAACTAATTTGCCAATGATACATTGACAACGGTGTTAATCACCAAAATTTATAGGGAACTTATACAATTTAACAAAAGGAAGATAAATATTCAAATTAAAAAATGGGCAAAGGACCTAAATAAACACTTCTCCAAAGTGGACATATAGAAGACCAAGAGGCATATAACAAAATGCTCAAAGTCACTGATCATCCAAAAGATGCAAATCAAAACAACAATGAGGCATCACCTCACACCTGTCAGAATGGCTACCATCAACAAACAACTAGTGTTGGCAAGGATGTGAAGAAAAAAACCCTCATGCACTGCTGGTGGGAATGCAGACTGATGCAGCCACTGTGGAAGACACTATGGAGTTTCCTTAAAAAAAATTAAAAATGGAACTCCCATTTGACCCAGTGATCCCACTTCTAGGGATATATCCCAAGAAATCAAAAACACCAATCAGAAAGAATGTATGCACCTCTACGTTTATAGCATCTCAATTTATAATAGCTAAGATTTGGAAACAGCCTAAGTGCCCATCAGTAGATGAGTTGATTAAAAACCTGTGGTGCATCTACACAATGAAATACTATGCAGCTGTAAAGAAGAAAGAACTCTTACCATTCACAACAGCATGGATGGACCTGTACAGCATTATGCTAAATGAAATAAGCCAGTCGGAGAAAGTTAAGTATCACATGATCTCACGCATATGTGGAATATAATGAACAACATAAATTGATGAACAACAGAGACATAGAAGCATGTGCAGACTGTTGAACCTCAGAGGGATGGTAGGGGAGGGTGGATGGGAAGAGATCAACCAGTGAACTTGTATGCATATATGCATGACCCATGGACACAGACAATAGGGGGATGAAGACCTATGCTGGGGAGATGGGGAAGGCTGGGAGAGATCATTGGAGGAAAACAGGGACATATATAATATTTTCAATAATAAAGAATTTAAAATCCTATATAATAAAAGGCTAATATGCAAATTTCCTCCACGGGAGTTCAACTGACTGGGAGTTTGACCACTCTCTATGACATGTGCTGACCAGCAGGGGGCGGTGTGGAATGAAGGAAGGTCCTGGCTGGCAGCTGGAAGGCCCTGATCAGCCCTGATCACTGGCCAGGCCTAGGGACCCCACCCATGCATGAATTCATGCACCAGGCCTCTAGTATAAAATAAAATAAAAAAAATTACATGCTAGTATGTTCTTTGACCATAGAGGCACTAAATTAGCAATCAATAACAACAATGTATCTAGAAAACTCCCAAATATTTGGAAGTTAATATACAAACTTTTAAATAATCCATATGTCAAAAAAGAAATCATACAGGAAATTAGAAAATACTTTGAACATTTAAATGACAATAAAAATATAAGAAATCAAATTTTTTCAGGGTACAGCTAGAGCACTGCTTATAGGGAAATGTTTAGCATTCAATGTTTATATTAGAAAAGAAGAGAGACATAAACGCTATGGCTTTAGGTTTCACCTAAAGAAACTAGAACAAAGGGGAGTAAACCAAAAGTAGATGGAAGGAAGTGATAAAGAACCCCCCCCAAAAAATCAATAAAAGAGAAAATAGTCAATAATTGAGCAAATTAATAGACAAAATTTAGTTCTTTGAAGTGATCAACAAAATGAATACAGTTTACTGTAGGTAAATTATACCTTAATAAATTTTATTTAAGAAAATATATTTCTGGAGACATAGTGTTTTCTTTTCTCAGTAACTGAGGTAGTTATATGTAGTAACATGCTATTCAGGTCTAATGCTCCATTTTTTTCAGAGTTATTCTTAAGGTCCATGCTTAATTACTCACCTTCTGGTATATCTTATAGATACCAAAGTAAATGTATCGATTGAGAAATGCTCTTAGTTTCCACAAAGTTGTGTCGCAAAAAAAAACCAAGAGAAGGCAAATAAAGCCTATGGTACTCATCATAACCATATATAGTCCAATCCCTTTCTTTTCCAAAGAATAAACAGTCTTTGCAGCATCTGAGAATGGCAAAGGGAGAGAGAGCTGACTGCAGGACATTGACACAATAAATACAGTCTAAGAAAAACAGCAAATAGTAAGAAATATATGATAAAATGAAATGTTAGGCTAAGTTGACAAGCATTTAGAGTGTGAGAAGTGATTGTTCTGCTACACAAATACCATTTGAATAATAAATTTTGAAAGCTTATTTTCAAGTTAATCAAATAAGCCTATGACTATTGACATGTTAATTGATGTTTCATAATTATTTCATGCCATAAAAATATTCCTTAAATCCTTTCAGAAGTGTAAAATCTTACAATCTTACATTGATAATTAGAGGAAAATATTAAAATGTAAATACTACTGAAAAAGATAACATACTATGCTTTATTATTTATTTATTTATTTATTTATTTATTTATTTATTTTTACTATGCTTTAAAATGGTAAAAAAATAACCATCTGACACTTGTGAACTTTTTCTTTTCTTTTCTTTTTTTTAAAGAATAGCTTATTGATTTTTATAGCGAGAGGAAGGAAGAGGGAGAGAGGAGAAACATTGATATGAAAGCAGAACATCAATCATCTGCCTCCTGCACACAGGCCCCTCTTAGAGACTGAGACTACGTGATCCAGGAATTAAATTGGCAACCTTTCTGGGCACAGATGGCACCCAGCCAACTGAGCCACACCAGCCAGGGCCTGAACTTTCTTGAGAAGAAAGTTGAGTAAAAAGAACAGAATGATTGTTATGACAGAACTGCAAATGCCCCTTATTTAAAAAAAATTAGAATGGCTTTAAATTTACCAAAAAAATGAAAATAGTACAGAGAAATAAATCCATATACCCTGCATCCAGTTTCTCTTATTATTAGCAGCATACATCAGTGTGGTACATGTTACAATTAATGAACAAATATTAATACATCATTGTTAACTAAAGTTCCTAATTTATTTGGATTTTCTAGTATTTAAAATAATGTAATGTTCTTGCCCTGGACAGGAGCTCAGTTGGTTAGAGTGTTGTCCTGAGAAGCCGAGGCTGTGGGTTCCATCGCCAGTCAGGGCACACTCAGTGATGCATAAGTAAGTGGAGCAGCAAATCTCTCTCTCTCTCCTCTCTCTCTCTCTCTCTCTCTCTCTCTCTCTCTCTCTTAAATAAATAAATAAATAATGTAATGTTCCTTTGTTGTTGTTCCATAATCCAATCCGGAATACTACATTTAGTATTCCTTAGGTACGTCTTGGCTGTCACAGTTTCTCTGATTTTCCTTCTTTTTGATGACACCGACAGTTTGGAGTGGTATTGGGCAGGCATTTTATAGGATGCCCTTCAATTGGGATCGATTTTTTTCATAATTAGAAAAGTCTAATGGGTTCATGGGATTTGGGGAGGAATATCACAGAAGTGCCATTTTATATCATCAAAAAAATCCATACTGTCAGTATGATTTATCACTGTTGATGTTGACCTTGATCACCTGATTGAGGTAGTTTGTCAGCTCTCTCTGCTGTCAAGCTACTCCTTTCACTCCCTTTCCATACTTTATGTGCTCCTTCACTTTTCCATCCTCCAGAAGTAACCACTATGAATAATTGCGTTCTGAATTCCTATCTTAAATACAAGTAGACAATTATACATTTATATATATTCAGTAAATAATACTTTAATTTTAAAATTTGAACTACATAAAAATAGTATAATACTTAATGCGGTCTTCTGGAACATATTGTTACTCCATGTTATTTTTTTCTGATCTCTCAATTTTAAAAAAATATATTTTATTGATTTTTTACAGAGAGGAAGGGAGAGGGATAGAGAGCTAGAAACATTGATGAGAGAGAAACATCAATCAGCTGCCTCCTGCACACCTCCCTACTGGGGATGTGCCCTCAACCAAGGTACATGCCCTTGACCGGAATCAAACCTGGGACCCTTCAGTCCGCAGACTGATGCTCTATCCACTGAGCCAAACCGGCTTCCACTAAACTTGACATTCAATATTATTTTGTATTAGTTTCAGGTGGTTAGTATCCACCTGACACCATAAATAGTTATTGTATATTATTAACTATATTTCTTATGCTGTATTTTACATCCTCATGACTATTCTGTAACAACCAATTTGCACTGCTTAATCCCTTCACCATTGCCACCCAGGTCCCCAATTTCCTCCCTGCTGGCAACCATCATTCTATTCTTTGTGTCTATGAACCTGTTTAAATTTTTGTTTGTTTCTTTGTTTTGTTCTTTAGATCCATATAAGTAAAATCATATGGTATTTGTCTTTTTCTGTCTAACTTTTTCACTTAGCATAATAGCCTCATGTCCATCCATGTCACAAGTGGTAAGATTTCATTCCTTTCTATGGCTGAGTGATATTTCATTGTATATATGTACCACCACATTTTTATCCACTTGTCTATTGATGGGCACTTGAGTTGCTTCCATATCTTAGCTCTTGTAAATAATGCTGCAAGGGAGAATCAAGATGGCGGCGTAGGGAGTGGACCTGTGCATGCTGCTCTCTCACAGCATCATTGAAACTACCAACTATGAGGCAAACAACCACCACTCAGAACCATGGGGAAGTTGGCCCAGTGGGAGATCTACAACTGGAAGAAAAGAAAGAAGCGCAGTGAGACTGAGTGGGAGCTACGGAGGCACCAAAACCAGAGGTACACAGTCACACAGTCACACGCCGGGCTGCAAATGGATTCGTGGTTTTTTTTTTTCAATCGGAAGCGGTTACGAACCCTCGAATCCTCTGGGCTTGCTCGGGGCGGGTCTCTGAGGCCCCAGATCCCACAGGGAGAGGCGGCCACGGCCTTGCAGTGGTCGGAGAGCGAGGGAGGCTCTGGCGCGTGGCTGCTCACCAGCACTGGGGGACGAAAAGTCCTGGTGTCCTGGATAGGCAAGGGGCCGCTGAGTCTCCGCCCCGGCGACTCCCTGTGACCCCGCCCTACGCAATTTACATTCCCATCTGGGCTGTGCCAGACTCACAAGTAGAAACGCCTTTGCTTTTGCAAACTTTCAAATCCACTGAGCTGGTTTGGGCGGGATCATGAGGCACCAGACCCTATGGGGAGAGGCAGCACGGCCTTGCAGCCATCAGAAAGCGAGGGAGGCTCTGTCGCACAGCTGCTCGCCGGCACTGGGGGACACAAAGCCCCGGTGGAGAGGCAAGGGGCCGTGGAGACTCAGCCAGTGCTATTTGCTCCGCCATGGCGACTCCCTGAGACCCAGCCCTAATCAATTTACATCCCCATCCAAGCTGTGCCAGGTGCACAAAAAGACCCACCTGCGCTTTTGCAGCCTAACCCAACAAATTGCAGACTTAAATAATGCTGCAATGTACTTAGGGGTGCATATATTCTTTTGAATTAATGTTTTGTATATGTATCCAGAAGGGGAATTGCTCGGTCATAAAGCAGGTCCACTTTTAATTTATTAAGGATCCTCCATACTATTTTTCCACAGTGGCCAGACCAGTCTGTATTCACTAACAGTGCATGAGGTTCCTTTTCCTCCACATCCTTCAGGCAATTGTTGTTGGTTTGGTTTGTTTTTGGTGTTGAGTATTAGGAGTTTTTTTAACCTTGGCAAATATCTTCTCCCCTTCAGTGGGCTGGCTTCATTTTGTTGATGATTTTCTTTGCTGTGTAAAGTCCTTTTAGCTTCATGTAGTCCCACTTGCATCTTTTTTTCTTTACCTCTTGGATGAAGAGATATATCAGAAAAAATACTGCTGAGAAAAATGCCTGATATATTACTGCCTGTGTTTGCTCCTGGGACTTTTATGGTTTTGAGTCTTACACTTTAAGTCTGTCGTTCATTTCGCATTTATTGTTGTGTGTGGAGTAAGAAGGTGATCTAGTTTCATTTTTTGTACATATCTGTTCAATTTTCCCAACACCATTTATTGAATAAACAGTCTTTACTTCATTGTATGTTCTTGCTTCCTTTGTGAATTATTAATTGACCATGGACTTGTTTTGGGGCTCTCTATTTTGTTCCATTGATTTATGTGTCTATTTACAAGCCAGGAACATGCTGCTTTGATTACTTTATCCTTATAGTTTAGTTTTATATCAGGTGGCATGATAACTCCAACTCTGTTCTTTTTCAAGATTGCTGCGGCTATTCAGGGACTTTTGTGGTCCCATACAAATTTTTTGATTATTTGTTCTAGTTCTGTGAAATACACCATTGGTTATTTTGATAGGAATAGCATTGAATCTATAGATTTCTTTGGGAAGTAATTATGTTAATTCTTCCATCCAAGAGCATGGTACATGCTTCCATTTATTTGAATCTGCTTCCATTTCTTTCTTCAGTGTCTTATAATTTCCTGAATATAGGTTTGTTAGTTTGTTTATCTCCTTGGTTTAGTTTATTCCTACATATTTTGTATTTTTGATGCAATTGTAAATGAGAATATATTTTGATTTTCCTTTCTGCCAGTTCATTTTGGTGTATAAAAATGCAACCAATTTCTGAATATTTATTTGGTATCCTGGTACTTACTAAATGAATTTATCAGTTTTAATAGTTTTTGGTGGAATCTTTAGAGTTCTCTATGTACAATATAATGCGATATGCAAATAATGATAGTTTTACATCTTCCTTTCCTATTTTATCTGATTGCTGTGGCTAGGACTTCCATTACTATGATGAATAAGAGTGGAGAAAGTAGATGACCCTGTCTTGTTCCTGATCTTGAAGAAAACACTTTTACTTTGGCCCCATTGAGTATGATGTTAGCTATGAGTTTGTCATCTATGGCTTTTGTTATATTGAGGTATGTTTTCTCTATTCTACTATACTGAGAGTTTTTATCATAAGTGGGTGGTAGAATATGTCCAATTCTTTTTTGTATCTATTGATATGATCATGTGATTTTTGTCTTTCAATTTGTTTATGTAATGTATCATGTTTACTGATTTGCAGATATTGTACCATCTTTTTTTAATCTTTATTGTTCAGATTATTACAGTTGTTCCTCTTTTCCCC